AGGTCAATCGCAAGCCCGAATAGCTCAGTGGTAACGTCTCTGACTGCAGCACTGGGTGACGCGGGTTCGAATCTCAGAAGGGACATGAGTTCCTTCAAGGTTGCAGATACGCCTTGCTGACGAGTGCCAACTAGCACGAAACCTAGGTCCAAGGCTTCCTGCCGATTGCCTCCAACCACCTAATATCATCACAAACTATGTACACCGTGATGGCGGGCTACCTAGAATGGTGGCCACATTACAACCTGACTGATAAAATTCAGTCTGCACCAAAGAGAGGACTAGACGCATCACACTAGTTACTAGTGTCAAATCAAAATATCCACTACAGTCCTACAAGAGGTCAATCGCAAGCCCGAATAGCTCAGTGGTAACGTCTCTGACTGCAGCACTGGGTGACGCGGGTTCGAATCTCAGAAGGGACATGAGTTCCTTCAAGGTTGCAGATACGCTTTGCTGACTGGTGAGTGCCAACTAGCACGAAACCTAGGTCCAAGGCTTCCTGCCGATTGCCTCCAACCACCTAATATCATCACAAACTATGTACACCGTGATGGCGGGCTACCTAGAATGGTGGCCACATTACAACCTGACTGATAAAATTCAGTCTGCACCAAAGAGAGGACTAGACGCATCACACTAGTTACTAGTGTCAAATCAAAATATCCACTACAGTCCTACAGGAGGTCAATCGCAAGCCCGAATAGCTCAGTGGTAACGTCTCTGACTGCAGCACTGGGTGACGCGGGTTCGAATCTCAGAAGGGACATGAGTTCCTTCAAGGTTGCAGATACGCCTTGCTGACGAGTGCCAACTAGCACGAAACCTAGGTCCAAGGCTTCCTGCCGATTGCCTCCAACCACCTAATATCATCACAAACTATGTACACCGTGATGGCGGGCTACCTAGAATGGTGGCCACATTACAACCTGACTGATAAAATTCAGTCTGCACCAAAGAGAGGACTAGACGCATCACACTAGTTACTAGTGTCAAATCAAAATATCCACTACAGTCCTACAGGAGGTCAATCGCAAGCCCGAATAGCTCAGTGGTAACGTCTCTGACTGCAGCACTGGGTGACGCGGGTTCGAATCTCAGAAGGGACATGAGTTCCTTCAAGGTTGCAGATACGCCTTGCTGACGAGTGCCAACTAGCACGAAACCTAGGTCCAAGGCTTCCTGCCGATTGCCTCCAACCACCTAATATCATCACAAACTATGTACACCGTGATGGCGGGCTACCTAGAATGGTGGCCACATTACAACCTGACTGATAAAATTCAGTCTGCACCAAAGAGAGGACTAGACGCATCACACTAGTTACTAGTGTCAAATCAAAATATCCACTACAGTCCTACAGGAGGTCAATCGCAAGCCCGAATAGCTCAGTGGTAACGTCTCTGACTGCAGCACTGGGTGACGCGGGTTCGAATCTCAGAAGGGACATGAGTTCCTTCAAGGTTGCAGATACGCCTTGCTGACGAGTGCCAACTAGCACGAAACCTAGGTCCAAGGCTTCCTGCCGATTGCCTCCAACCACCTAATATCATCACAAACTATGTACACCGTGATGGCGGGCTACCTAGAATGGTGGCCACATTACAACCTGACTGATAAAATTCAGTCTGCACCAAAGAGAGGACTAGACGCATCACACTAGTTACTAGTGTCAAATCAAAATATCCACTACAGTCCTACAGGAGGTCAATCGCAAGCCCGAATAGCTCAGTGGTAACGTCTCTGACTACAGCACTGGGTGACGCGGGTTCGAATCTCAGAAGGGACATGAGTTCCTTCAAGGCTGCAGATACGCCTTGCTGACGAGTGCCAACTAGCACGAAACCTAGGTCCAAGGCTTCCTGCCGATTGCCTCCAACCACCTAATATCATCACAAACTATGTACACCGTGATGGCGGGCTACCTAGAATGGTGGCCACATTACAACCTGACTGATAAAATTCAGTCTGCACCAAAGAGAGGACTAGACGCATCACACTAGTTACTAGTGTCAAATCAAAATATCCACTACAGTACTACAGGAGGTCAATCGCAAGCCCGAATAGCTCAGTGGTAACGTCTCTGACTGCAGCACTGGGTGAAGTGGGTTCGAATCTCAGAAGGGACATGAGTTCCTTCAAGGTTGCAGATACGCCTTGCTGACGAGTGCCAACTAGCACGAAACCTAGGTCCAAGGCTTCCTGCCGATTGCCTCCAACCACCTAATATCATCACAAACTATGTACACCGTGATGGCGGGCTACCTAGAATGGTGGCCACATTACAACCTGACTGATAAAATTCAGTCTGCACCAAAGAGAGGACTAGACGCATCACACTAGTTACTAGTGTCAAATCAAAATATCCACTACAGTCCTACAGGAGGTCAATCGCAAGCCCGAATAGCTCAGTGGTAACGTCTCTGACTGCAGCACTGGGTGACGCGGGTTCGAATCTCAGAAGGGGACATGAGTTCCTTCAAGGTTGCAGATACGCCTTGCTGACGAGTGCCAACTAGCACGAAACCTAGGTCCAAGGCTTCCTGCCGATTGCCTCCAACCACCTAATATCATCACAAACTATGTACACCGTGATGGCGGGCTACCTAGAATGGTGGCCACATTACAACCTGACTGATAAAATTCAGTCTGCACCAAAGAGAGGACTAGACGCATCACACTAGTTACTAGTGTCAAATCAAAATATCCACTACAGTCCTACAGGAGGTCAATCGCAAGCCCGAATAGCTCAGTGGTAACGTCTCTGACTGCAGCACTGGGTGACGCGGGTTCGAATCTCAGAAGGGACATGAGTTCCTTCAAGGTTGCAGATACGCCTTGCTGACGAGTGCCAACTAGCACGAAACCTAGGTCCAAGGCTTCCTGCCGATTGTCTCCAACCACCTAATATCATCACAAACTATGTACACCGTGATGGCGGGCTACCTAGAATGGTGGCCACATTACAACCTGACTGATAAAATTCAGTCTGCACCAAAGAGAGGACTAGACGCATCACACTAGTTACTAGTGTCAAATCAAAATATCCACTACAGTCCTACAGGAGGTCAATCGCAAGCCCGAATAGCTCAGTGGTAACGTCTCTGACTGCAGCACTGGGTGACGCGGGTTCGAATCTCAGAAGGGACATGAGTTCCTTCAAGGTTGCAGATACGCCTTGCTGACGAGTGCCAACTAGCACGAAACCTAGGTCCAAGGCTTCCTGCCGATTGCCTCCAACCACCTAATATCATCACAAACTATGTACACCGTGATGGCGGGCTACCTAGAATGGTGGCCACATTACAACCTGACTGATAAAATTCAGTCTGCACCAAAGAGAGGACTAGACGCATCACACTAGTTACTAGTGTCAAATCAAAATATCCACTACAGTCCTACAGGAGGTCAATCGCAAGCCCGAATAGCTCAGTGGTAACGTCTCTGACTGCAGCACTGGGTGACGCGGGTTCGAATCTCAGAAGGGACATGAGTTCCTTCAAGGTTGCAGATACGCCTTGCTGACGAGTGCCAACTAGCACGAAACCTAGGTCCAAGGCTTCCTGCCGATTGCCTCCAACCACCTAATATCATCACAAACTATGTACACCGTGATGGCGGGCTACCTAGAATGGTGGCCACATTACAACCTGACTGATAAAATTCAGTCTGCACCAAAGAGAGGACTAGACGCATCACACTAGTTACTAGTGTCAAATCAAAATATCCACTACAGTCCTACAGGAGGTCAATCGCAAGCCCGAATAGCTCAGTGGTAACGTCTCTGACTGCAGCACTGGGTGACGCGGGTTCGAATCTCAGAAGGGACATGAGTTCCTTCAAGGTTGCAGATACGCCTTGCTGACGAGTGCCAACTAGCACGAAACCTAGGTCCAAGGCTTCCTGCCGATTGCCTCCAACCACCTAATATCATCACAAACTATGTACACCGTGATGGCGGGCTACCTAGAATGGTGGCCACATTACAACCTGACTGATAAAATTCAGTCTGCACCAAAGAGAGGACTAGACGCATCACACTAGTTACTAGTGTCAAATCAAAATATTGCATCATTCTACACTTATGTCACTTATACTTCCTACCAATAAGTCATTGCAAGTGTGTGGTGAAGGTATGTTCAAAAGGTTTTGTAGTTTTTTTATAGTTTCGTATTGTTTAGGTAGTAAGCGATTGAAAAAGAATGCACTTTAATAATAAAAAAATGAGCTAATAATACCCCACTATATTAGTTCTTCCATAGAACACCACATGCAAACAGACAGTAATTTAAGAAGCTCTCATTCAAAAGCAGCTACAAATTCCTTTTTTCAAACTTTTCCAAAATAATGCGTACAGACTAAAACACAGTATGCAGAACTCCGTTTATATGCACAGTAAGTGACTTTCGACACATTCTAAGTAAGACAGTAGAAAGCAGTCCCTCAATATTGTACAAAGGGACTTCGGATACGCCCTCTGTACATAGCTGAAGCATTAGCTATTCGGGATTTGAAACCGGACCTCTGCATTCAAAAGCAATACATACATTCTCTTGCCCTACCATAGCCAGAGTAAAGTTCTTACTACAATTTTGCTTCTTTCCTTTATTATGTAAGTTCACTATTATTATTATTAATAATACTTTTATTATCATTATTATTCCCATCATCCATATTTTATTACCACTCTATTACTGTTTATTAATAACATTGCTTTTTCTTACAGATTTTATACAAAAACACTTTATATCCTTTCCACTAGTTCCTGTCCATTCTACACGAGCTTATTGATTAGTCATTATCTCACACTTATTACGTCATGCTAACTTCCGATCTACAATTACTCATCCCTTCTTACATCTTACATTATGTAATATAATTTTCAAGGGCAAAGTTTATCAGTATCTGATTGCTCTAAAGATTTCTTTGCTGAATATAACTACGATTGTACAGAAGCTTATGAAATTGAATCGTCAAAAAGAAAATTTTCTTCGCTGTTTGTGCCTTTTTCTTATGATAGTAGAAAGCCACTGAACTCAAGATCATAAAATACCTGCTTGGTATGTTCAGGCCATTTTTATGAGAGGATGAGTGGTTTTTATTACATGAGTATTATGAAATCAGGATACAATAACAGAATTCATATCTATCAAACTGACTAGTTATATATATATATATATATATATGAGTAATTAAAAGGAGTGTTTAAGAAGAACCACGAAACTAGTTAATACAATTGTACGTAAAACAAAATAGGTACACAATCGAAATGAAAGTAATATTTACACAATATTTTCGTTCGATGAAAACAATGTATCACACATTATGAGACTTCAAGTTAAGCAGATTATCTGTAATTGATGAGGCATTTTCTGATTTAGCGGCACCAGTATTTTCTACAGGCGTCTTCTTTTGAGGCGTAACAGTCTTTACAGCCTTCCGAATTGGAGTTGAACGTGTTGAATTCGGATGTTGAACAACACCTACATCAGAAGGGATTCGCCGAGGAGTATTGGCTTTTGGGAGAGGCGAATTCGTTTGCCCACCAACACGACCAGTACCAGTTGAAGGTCGACTGTTTACATCATAATTGATAATTGAGGAACTTGTGGCAAGCAAACGTAGAGCAGCTGGTGAAAGCAGTGACCGCGAAGGACTACATTGAGTAATATTTAAGAAAAATAAAACAAAATTAACTCCCACAAGCACAAAAAACTATTTGTCTCTATTTGACACAGTTTTTAATTTTAGCCAAACCTGATAACGTTTCGATACAGAGAGTTATATGGACCCTTGTATTTCAGCTAAAAAGTTGGTTGAGTGGTAGCGGGACAGATGGGCAAAATAATGTGTTAAGTCACATAAAAATAGCACAGTGATTACAGTGCTGTTTACTGATATCTTTCTCCCGCACATTTCTACTCATTATACTTCCTTGAAATTTCTGTTTCTCCTCTTTTCCTTACCTTTGTGTGCTACATGAAGTCTAGCAACTCGAACTGTTGCACTTCTGTGCAGAATTCTATTTTAAAACTTAGTCAGTTATAGGCATAAATTTAACAAATCCTTGGAAATTTGACCAAATTTAGAGGTTAGCTGACTGTAGGTATTAAAAGTTACTAGGAACTAGAAAACCTATGTATGCTGTCTTCTGAACACCTTGAGCAGCAATCTTCGTATGTTTGGCATGCGATCCGCCCCTGTAAAATGTAAGATGCTGCTACAGGACTGGACTACGTCAACTCCTAGCTTAGTGATAGAGAGTGAAGTGATAGAACATGTTGACCAGTTCACCAATTTGGGAAGTTGTATCAGCACCAACGGATTGATTGGCAAAGAAATCTCAGCACGGATCCAAAAAGCTCGAGCTGCTTTCGCTAATTTACACCATCTCTGGCGTAGGCGTGACATCCAGCTATCAACCAAGGGACGTGTGTACTGCTCAGCAGTTCGCTCCGTCCTTCTCTATGGCTCTGAAACATGGCCAATACGAGTTAAAGACATGAAAGGTTGACTGCTTTTGATCAAGAAGTCTACGATCTCTTCTCACGTTAGGTGGTATAATAAGGTAAGTAAAGTTGACGTTAGGCGTAGAGTGTTGGGCATAGAGGGAAAATCAATCGAAGAGGCCATAAAGTTACATATACTGAGATGGCTAGCTCACGTCGGTCGCTCGGTCGGTTTTCGACATAGGTCACGTGCTGCGCATGCCTAACCATCGCCTCCCCCGACGGGCATTACTAGCTGATATAGGTGCAGGTTGGAAAAGAGTAAGTGGTGGCCAAACAAAAACATGGTCTCATCAATCCATGAAATCCTTGACAGTTAAACTGAGTGAGGTAGGGAGATGCAGACCTCCGGGTTGGGGCCCGCCCTCGGGACTCTAAGAATCAATGGCTGAAGACAATAGGTGACATGGCCCAAAATCGTCGTCAATGGCGCAGATGTATTCAGTCTCTGTAATCTTTCATATTCCTTTCTACCATTATACTTGTCAAAACTCTATTGATTCTCTTCACTCATTTTCTTGTCTACCTTTGTGTGCTATTTGGAACTGCTGCACTTCGGTGCCAAGTTCTATGTTGAATCCAGACAGACAATAAGGTAGCTGATTTAAAATCACAGGATTAGGAAAATATGACATGTTTGATGCAAGCTTCAGAAATCGAGCCGACTCTTTAACTGGTAACTTTTCAAAACACTGTTATTATGTCAACGACTTAGGTAAGTTGACAACCAACCCTCCGCCAGCTGTGACAAAAAGTAGTTCCCACAGATCAGGAGTAAAACGCAGATGACCAAAGGGACTCCAATAGTAAAAACAATCAAAACAGCATTCATTAATGCATGAAACAAAATAACATCTGAACAATTACCAACACCATACCTACTGATCGAACTATCAAGGTTTCACAATTACTTAAGAACTCGAAAATTTTTTTTAAAAAAACTAGCTGATTTACCTCAACATATATCGAGAAACTCTTAGTGTTGTGGAACAATCTGCTGAACGGAATGATATTAAAAGCCAATCGATTACACGTGAAACACAAACATGAACCTTTATTTCTATACCTCAAAACCAGAATTACTATTTATCATAAATGGTTATATGTTTACAAAGTATTGGAAGTAAATGTAATTGTATTAATTTGTGAAGTATCTTAACTACGGATCTGTCACAAAATGGTAGTTGGTATCAGTAGATAATTTGATCACAATTTAGGATCAAATCCATCACAACCCATGGAAAACTTTAAGATGACTGATGGGCTGACTAGTCAGTACAGAACTTTATTTAAAAAAAAGTGTATAAGTTCGAGTTACCACTCCGGAAAAGCATATATTAACATAGAAGAAATGACACTACAGTAGATGAAGATGTATGGGAAAAAATAATCAGGTGAAGATTAGTGAGGATACTGACAAGCAGTAAATATATCTGCGCACACCTTGGACTATTTTGATCCATGTTATCCAGTCTCCAACCAATAAGTTTAAGCATTTCGAAGATCCTAGACATGTAATTAACACTATCTAGTGTGGCCCAGACCAACACTGGGATTACTTATGGATTGATGTCATCTTCAGCTGATCACCACTAACTCTTCCCTAACCTAATTCTATTTCAGCTAACATTATTCGATGAATGCGGCGGTTAAAGCATTTCCCAACCACCACAACCCCACCAACTGATTTTCCCACATTACACAATATTCTACACCTAATGTAACTATTACTGACCATATTGCCAAACTTTTACACGAGATTGGAGGATGGCATTTATGGTCAAAAACCGCTGAACTTTGTATGCCTTCAGCCTTCAAAGACCATGTCCCAAGATAGTATTTTATTTTCACAAACAAAAATAGGCGTATTCTTGCAGTTGTCTTAACAACAGAAAACAATCTGATGCATCCAGAGACTGCAAACCTATTTTTACCTACCTCAACTGCCTACTACCTTAAATCCCTTTGCCTCAATTTTATCCAGAGAAAAAATAGTCTCTTAATCTAAGCCACAGAAACAACAATTGTGCTTACCTTGAAGCTACCGACTGAATTCGTTTTACTGCTTCTAATCGACCACGCACCCGCTGACGACTTGCTTTGTCTGCCAACTGATGGGCAAGTTGTTCACGCTGCGAGGGTGATGGGATGCGGAAAGCAGGAGCACCAGACACAACCGATGGTGTCATCTCACTTTCATCTAACCGGAAAGGTGTAGAATCCAATTCACCCCAAGTCATCAAGGGGGTGTGAGGAAACATTGTCATTGGTGAAGGCGAAGAATCGAGGAATTTATAGCCAGAGGCTTGAGGAGTTCCATAAGGTGAGTTCATTTCCAAACCATTAAGACCAATGTGTCCCTATTTAAAATAAGGTTACATAACCCACAAAAGTATCAAGCAAAGTATTGAATAGACACCCTTTCAAATGGAAATCAAAAATAGAGATGCACAATTTTTAATTTTAAAAGTCAATAACACTACAATGTCTCCATTCTCACTGAGAACACAAAACTTACTATACGTCTGCAAAGAATAGTATTCTTCGCGGGCAATTATAATAAACAGTAATGTAACGATTATAAGCACATGAAGGCAACTACATTTGGTGGAAGGCACACAAATGGAAATGAAACCTCCCTCTGAATACCGAGACAAACTTTACACTTCAGACCACAATCAAAACAGGAGTGTATTTACAGTTAGTTTCATACAAAGTTAAAGTTTTACCAACATTAACAAACCATTAGCAAGACTAGTGCTACCCGGACTTCTCAAATTATTGGAGTAAACGAAAAGCTACATTTTCACTTTAGTCAAAACTCTGACATACCACTTTAAAAAGTAAACAAAACTTAAAATATGAGAAGAATTATCAACTAACCAACTTGGCTGCTAGTAAATGTTTCACTGTGCGCTTTTTCTCTAGACTTGAGGGAAATGGTCGCTTAAAACGAGTATTAGACGGTACAATTTTACGTTCTTTTGATAAAAATTCCAATAATTCCTCTTTTGTATGAGATACGCCATCAGGGTTAAAGTGAACTGCATTATTCCCAGATATTGTGATTCTAGGTCCAACAACAGCATCCGACACACTGGGAAGAGCCAAGTGTTTTGGACCATCTATGGGTTCCTACTCAATAAAAGATGACAAACTGAATATGAACTTACCACAGTAGGACTCTGAAGAGAAGGAAAAAAAGGTGCCAACTTGATTCTTTGTTTCTTTTCGCTCTCTTCAACTAACTCAGCAAAGGATGCATCATCTTCAGTAGTATTATTGGCCATGTATTTATCCAAAGACATGGCAGTAGGATCACCTAAAGTCTTCACATTATTTTCGAATTCACTGTCTACTCTTTTCAGGATTGTGAGAATCGCTGCTGAGTGAATTCCTGCCTTTAAGCTCATCAGATACATCATCATGATTTCCAACTACTTTTTCTTCATTTGATGACAGATCAGGAAAAAAGTCACGTTGTATGATCTTTCCCAGATGCTGGAAGATTGTTAAAAATATGGAAATTGTAGTACTACGTGCGAGTAAAAGAGCGTATTTGCGATAAAATTCAGTTTTAAAATTCTAGTGTAATTAAGTAAACAAATGTATATGTATTCACTAAGCAGTGAGCACATACAATGAAAACTCACGACCGCCAAAAATCTTCGATAGTTTCAGAACAATAGATGAATTCTTAACTCAGAGGATTACAAATGCAAGTTATACAATCCACAGATGTCTATCTTCTTAAAACTACCATCCACACCCACTTTTGGATTTAAATATATACAAACTGTTGTCTCAGATTAAAGACAATATTCACGTCATATGTTTAGAATGAACCATTGGTAGATGACACCGACACCTATCACTACTCTAACTGCATCTACATGCTACAAATTTAACTCAGAGTCGAAATGACAATGAGCAAAATACTGCCAAGTACAATTTAGTAACCGTTTAGATAACAATTCCCACCTATTGTACTTAGGCTTATGACAGCAACTGAATTACTAGGCCCTGACAGATAGAATAAAGTTTGAATATGATTTATTAAATGACAGTCAACTGCATACACTAAGTTATGGCCACTTAAGTCTCACGACTTACAGTTAGTAAATTCATTTTATGTACAACCAACTTTAAAAAGTATGTTGCACATCAAATCTCCACTGGAAGTTTAAGCAGAGTTGTCAACAAACCACTTTCGACACCCCCTGGAAACATCTCGATTAATATTTCTGTTCAGTCTTTTAAGCGTGAGTCTATTCACTTCCGAATTTCCAGGGACTAATTTTATGTAGAACGATAAGCAGACAACATGCTAAAGCAAAACTATCGACAGTGGACTACTAACGGAAAAATGCGAACTATGTAGAATGCCTGTTTGCAACGCACGATAATGATCGTTTGTAGATGCATAATTTGTCCATGACTGAGTAGAATTTTCGCAAAACTAGTGGATCAATTTCCACATAATTTAAGCGGTAACTTAGAAATGTGAGAGATCTATACGTCAGCTAATAAAGTTACCTTGAACGCTTGAAAAATAATCAAACAATGATAATCGTATCCCTTTTGTTCGAAACCTAATAGTCTGCACGTCTGAAAGGTTAGGGAAGAAAACTAAGGACAGGGGTTAGTACAAGGAACTTCAACAGTATGTTGGTGAGGTCGCTGACGCAGTGATGATTTATGACAATCTTATGCCCACAGGAGATTAAGTAACCAGCACCAACATACAGGCCATGAAAAAGACCACTTAAAACGTATGCAACTGTGTAATCGGTTTATTCATACTGCCTTAGCCATGAAAGAATATAACAGTAACTCAAGACTACCAAATGAAAGGAACCTGGAAGTACATTTTAATTCGGCAAGCACCGTTAGGACAAATTATGAAACTTGAAGACGATGTACCAGATAATTTGTCAGAACTAATGAAGCATCTCCGTGTATTACAGCTAACTATAGGTGAGGATCGCAGTCTGGATTACTACTGAAAATTTAAGGGAAAAAAGGTCGAGTACAGACCCCCTCAGTAGATGTGAGAAGAGCTATAATGCGTGAAAAAATAACCGAAAGCAACTTAACGAATAAACAATAGATAAATAACCAGTATTCCTGAAAGCTGACTCCAGAAAAGTCATGATGCATGTATACATTATAGCACTTCAACAGTACAATATCACGAATATTACATGGGTTATGAAGTTCATTTTAATGAAGCAATATACAACTCGTACCTCCATATACTCCTCCTCATCTCGTATAGTTTGCGTGGTTATTCGTCCCTGCACCGGACTAAAACTCACAAGCTTCTTCTGCCCGCTAACATCATGAATAACTTTAGATGACACTTTGTCCATGAACTCTTGAGAGAGTAACGTGAAAGGTTAAGACTCCCGCTCCGAAAACCTCATACTAGCCATAAAAACTTATTGTATTCCGATATCCAATATCGTTTTTACGAGCTAGTATAAATCAATTTGATTTCCTTGTGCTCGCCTCTTGATTGTGAGGTATAGGTTCCTGATCTTTGGTTAACGTCAGCGTAGCTCGTACCGCCACTCTACTGTCGTAGCTTCGGTTGACTCCAAAAAGAGTAGTGCTGGGATTAATTATATTTCGTTTGTAGTATGAGGTGTGTTCAGACTGTTACTACTGTGAATGGAGTTGATTCTTTCACCAGTTAGTCCTCCGGTATCGTCGTCAAAAGAAAAGAGATAATAATAGATATAATTGGTGCAGTTATTCAGACTAACAGACAGAAAAAGAAATAAAGAAAACGTAAAAACAGACAGCTGATTAAATTTGAAATTGATATATATACATATATATCGATAATAATTAGTAGTTTAGTTAGAGTTGTCAGGAGAGTAAGATGGGAGAGAATATAAAGAAAGATGATGAACTTAGTTGTCTATCCCCGAATGGTATATGGGATTTTAAGAGGATAGGCCATTTGGACGCAGTCCTTGTGTTGCTGCATGATTGTCCAGCCTTCGCTTATAGGCGTCCACAGACGGTGCCATAACTACATCTGCCGGTAAGGAATTCCAGGGACTACAAACCCGCAGTGAAAAGAAGTGGGAGCGCACCTGGGTCCTTGCTCTCTGGTGAGCTATCCTTCTGGGATTTCCACGAGGAAGCCTATACCTACTCAATGGCAGAATACCTTTATTTGGGTGATTCTGGTCATTCGTTACTTTGTAGGCAGTAATCAAATCCCCCGACGGTAGCTAAGTGTGAATAGGCCTAATTTTGTTTGCCTTTCATCATGCGGTTTACTTCGGAGACCAGTGTTATTAAGTAAATGTCAGCCATCGATTAATTTTCACTCCTTACCTTCAGTCATCGTTTTCAAGGCCTTTACAGTGTATCGCTGGTTTCACTTTTGTAAAAATAGAACTTGGGTATACTGCAGAACACCATCATGATGGTAAAAGCATACTTACTGACGACTTTTCGAAAACAATTAACTCTCATAATCCAACTAGGGCACTCACGTAACTTTCTAACTCCGTTTTTAATATTCCATGATTCAATGTTAATACAAGGCATATGGAAATATCACTTGTAACAAAGTCATATAATAAGAATTAGTGGAATTGTACAAACAAAGTTTGAGATGATTGTGAGGTTCTTGATATGATAGTGAGCAATAATTTGTGCTGCAAAAGTCATCAATGAATAATACACTATCAATATGTGCTTTCATCAAATAAATTTACTCTAAGATGGAGATAGTTTCACATTATTTGGCGTCATATATCCTCACTGTTATTCATTATCCTTGGGTTCTTAGTGAAAATAGGGCTTCGGCAGCACATACTCAATAAAATTTGTCATCTTGGTTTTCTAGCCCCATGTCGTCTCATCCTCACATGATCTCGATTTTACCCTGAAACGCTCAAGTCGTCACTTATCACTTGGACTTCACTTAAGCGCTTGGGACAATATTTCACTCAACAGAATCCTTTGGACACTTCTGATACATTTCCATTTCCTTCCACATATGTTCTGGGCCATAGGTTGCCGATAGGTTCTTTGCCAGCGTTCCGTGCTGCTTATCCTTACTGGCAGTCTAATACTAAGTATGAAGAGAATGTGTCTGTTGAATGTCTATTGGAAATTCTTTATAGCGAGTCCGTATCATCTTAAATGAGATCTTTGCCCTCTAAATCCTATGGTGATGTACCAGAAGTAAGATGAAGCTGTCTATCATCAATGACGAAGCCCCCAAATATGGTGGGCTAGATTGTGCGGCAGGCTGTGGAGAATGAAAAGACATGGGTACTTTGGTTTGGCACGAATACTGTAGAAGGTTTTAAATGCACGGACGGATTTCGTGTGATGTCAGACAAACTCGAAGATCTGCAGGCAAAGATGACAAGTTGGCAGAAGAAGCAACAAAGAAGAAAGGATTTCAAGCCAGCATAGAGAAGACGGATGTGATGAAGATAACTAATCAACAACAACCAACCACTGTCAGCGAGAGAAACTTGAAAGAGGTCACTTACTTCATTCATCTATGCACCAATGCTTCAACTACAGGTGGCATGGACGTTGAAGTCAAAACCAGAATAGGAAAGGCAATACGCACATTCATAATTCATAAATCAGTTTAGAAATCTATCTCAATCAGCATAATGAGCAGCATTCGGATTTTCAATACTATTTCCAAATAAGCGAGTGTTTCTTCATTAGTCAGAGAACTGGTGGGAATGTCTCCGAAAGCATTTCCGAAAAGCTGGAAACTTTTGCGAAAAGCTGCCTTCCATCCATACTGAAAATCAGGTTGCGAGAAAAAACTAGCAGTAGCGAACTCTGGCGACCAGCCAGACAACGACCTATAGCCTGGCAAATGTGCCGGGAAAATGTAGGTGTGTCGGACACATACTGAGAAGTGCACTGAGTGATATCATGCACCAGGCCCTCTAGTAGAACCTGATCAAATATACTAACTTGAACTTCTCTCACTTTGAATACTAACGTGCAGTTGTCTCTCAGACAGGAAGAATTTTCTGTTCTGAGCTACCCACTGGAAAATCCTGACCACCTCAGTTAGCGAACCTGCTCCAACCAGATGACTCCCTCGACAATGAATTGGGATACATCCCAAAATACACCGGTCCAAATAGATTATTCCAGTAGATCTGTAAGGAGGCACAGGAACACCAGGTATAATAAGGAAAAACTGACGACACAGTTAAAAAGAAACAACTGTTCCTAAAATTGCAATTTAATGGAAAACTGGCTAGTGAAATCCCACATCTAAGATTATCGAGAGCAACAAAACAGACTTCTATTGCCGCCACCCTTTGTTTGTCATTTTCCAGCCAACCTATTATCATTACTCAAGCGAAAGACAAGCTACCTAGCTCTGCTACTTCTATATGTATCTACAGATTTAGTTGCCTCTGGAGAAGGGGCTGTATAGGGCGAACAACTAGACAGCTTGTCAAATGTATCAATGACCATCTTCCTTCATGGTTTGGAAAATGCCAAATAAAATCTACAAGAATTTCTATTTTGACTCATTTGATTGATAGCGGTCACCAAGTGGACAGAAGTGCTTTCAAAGTTACCTGTCGCATTCCATCGAACCTTTCGAATGGAATTCCAACCCGCCTTTTACACAGAGCTGAAGCTATGGGAATTCGAGAGAATAATCCTAGTCTTTGTATAAAAAAGAAGTTTGTTCTACATTTGTTTCTCCAGTGCTTGCCTGGTAAAGTCCAATTAAAATCCTTCAACCCTTTCTTTCTATCCATTTCCTTCTTACTTTTATGATATTTATTTAAACTCTGATTATCTGTCCCCTTTGCCTTTTGTATTACGTGACTTTTAAGATTTAACTTTATTTATTTATTGAACTGTCCACATATACACATATTACTACCTTTGTTATTGTTGTCGCCAAGTGCATGAACCTTATTATCGTTATCTTGTTATCATTGTAATCATCTTGATTACTGACGTTCAAAACATTCAACATATCGTTATTATTTGACCCACAAACTCACCGTCATTGGTTAAAATTTTTATATATAAGTCTAGTTAAATTGGAGTAAATCCTGTAGAACAACTTTGAATATGCGGATATGACCCAATAGGCTATGGGCAGCCGTGAAATTTGAGTCTGTCATCCCGGGCTAGTAATCTCCACCTCTGTAGTTCAACACGGCATTCCTGATCTGAATAGAGGCACTCCTGGCGATCTGCCAAGACGGTGTTGGATGCCCTTGACTGTTCTAGGACAGTCTCGTTCCGTAGACTACCTCACACTAACCAATCCACATACGCCACCACGGCTGCTAGCTATTAAATTCAGTTTGCCAAAGAAACTGGCTACTGTGCTGCAACAGTGGTTTGATGTCGAACACGAGGTCAGCTGATATATTCCGTACTGTGTAAGGTGACCTAAAACATCGAGGATACCGTAAATCGAAGTTATAATGCACCCTGATGCCTCAGTAACATAACAGCGTTCGAAAACTGAGGAGGGGGACTGCCGATAGCACTAAAGCTTTTTAAGAGAACTTGAGGAATAGGTCAGGCTGGACAGTTCGGACAATAACATCTCATCCAGCAGTTCACTCGAAATCTGCCACCTCAAAATAAGACGATGTAGTGAGACTTATTATCAGATAGGCAAAATGGCCAAACTAAGAATTTAACAACCCCATTCTGAACTCAAAATTAAAATATCGACAGAAACCCGGCCTGCCCGTATCACTGTCGACAAGGAAGTCAGTTTAAGCGACACAGTTCTGGTTAAGCGAGACAGAGATAATAAAGAATATGGTGGAATCGTCACGTGTATCAACAAGCAGCTAGGATAGATGTGAGCAATAGGCCTGCCACTTTCTAAAATTCTAAACTCGACATGTTGCCATTTCGCCGCTGGTCATACGTAGAATTTATTGCCACCGAGGTTATTATTAACTCCTATATAGATAGGAAATATATATTATTATTTATACTGTGTAACCGACTTTTCTATCAAAATGATTACTTGAAATACCGACCGACAGCCCGTATTATCGTAAAAGACCAGCGGTCTTTATAAGCCTTTATATTCGAAAACACGGCAGAATGCAAGTGAATCGCTGCAATACTTAATTAAACAAATGAAAGCGCATTCATCATTTAATATATAAAGAAAGCCTTACAAATCAGGAAGAAAATATAGTTCCTACTTGGTCACTTTTCCTATTTTTCTGGACTGTACACTTTTTATTCCATCTGAGTGGCCGTGACACACCGTGTATTAGAGGCCCTACATCAGCCTCCCGCTAGAAGCGACTCCCATAAGGTTGCCATTTCGATTGGTCCATCTTTCTAAGCTATATCTGAGCTTTTCCATTGAATGCACTTAAGGACCATGATGTCAGCTGACTAATC